CTTCGTCAGTAAATGCTATAAGTCTTCTTCACTTTCAGCAAGCAAGGTTATGTCAACTGTTTACCATGGTTTGTTAATGAGCCTTCTTCCAATCTTGACACTGTTTAAACTTAATATAGTCCAGCTTCTTGGCTTATTTTCTTGGCATACAAACTGAATTAAGTGTGGTGAAAGGGTAAAACCTTGACACACTATCTTGCTAACTTTAAACTATGCAGTGTTCCCTTATTCTTTTCAGACAACTATCTCTTGGTCTGTGTGCTCGTGCCTGTTGAGCATGATTAAATGTTCTAGAATTTACATTCTTAATGTGATGTGTTATGATTCGCACAGTGTAATGTCTTTGCACAGCTGATAAAATATAGTTAAATGTTTTTCTTGTATTCTTTATTTTCAGCCAAGCTCCATCAGACATTGGGAATTATGTCCTTCCCATGGAGCATACCAAATAATAATTGCTCATGACTTGGTAGCTTCAGTTCTATTGACTTAGTTCCTTACTAATTCCTTTTATACTGATTCATGAATCTGATGTTCTCTGCCTGCATTATTAAAATGTTTTAATTATAAAAAAAAACTTCCTTTGATGATTTAACAAGTTTAAATAAAGTTTATTTATTGAAATAGTTAAATTTGAAAAAAAAATCTTAATTTTTTTGATCAATACATTCATTCATTAATCAAGTATTTGTTTTTATTATTTGTGTGTGTCTGTGTGTGTGATAAGTACATATATAACAAAACATTTGCATTTTTAATATTTTTACATGTGAAATTCAGTGACATTTTTTTCATAATTATCTAGAATCACCATATGCATTTCCAAATTTTGCCTTATCCATAACCGAATCTCAGTATCTCTTAAGCAATGACTACTTCTTATATCTGTCTCCTAGTCCTGGTAAACTTTGGTATTAATCCAGATATTTACTTTCTGTAGATTCCTACAATATTTGTATTTTTGTAACTGACTTATTTCAGTTAGTATATTGTTTTCAAGATCCATTCATGTTGTAAAATGTATCAGGATTCCACTTCTGTTTATCATGGAGTAATATCCCATTGCATGTCTACACCACATTTGGTTTATGCATTTATATATCAATGGACATTTGTTTCCTCCTTTTGGCTATTGGGAATAGTGCTAAAATGAATATTAGTTTACTAATATTTTTGTGTTTCTATTTCCTGTTTCTTGAGCCATATATCTATATACCTATCAGATTGACTACGTCTCTGGCAAGAAGAGATGGAGTAGCTCAATGTCTTCAGCCAAAACAAGCCCAGGAGCTGATTGTGGAACAGACTATCAATCGCTCATATGCAAGTTCAAGTTGAAGCTGAAGACAATTAAAAGAAGTCCACAAGAGCCAAAATATATCCCTCTGGAACTTAGAGACTATCTAAAGACTAGATTGATGCATTGAACTCTGTGTTGTTGTTGTTGTTGTTATGTGCTGCCAAGTCAGCCTCGACTCATAGCGACCCCTCCTTGTGTTTCCAAGGCAGTATCACTACGGAAGTAGGATTGCCCAACCTTCCTTCTGAGAAGTGGCCGCTGGGCCACCGTGCCTGTCGATGGCACCTCCAGGGGGGCCGTCGTGCGGCTTTCACCCACAACCCGTGCCAGTCACGCCCAGGCCCGTACTCGTACTTGTATTGAATTCTAGTGACTGAAAACAAGAGGAATTTTGGAATGGCATCAGGAACGTCATCCATGAAGAAACCAAAAGGTCATTTAAAATAAAAAAAAAAAGGAAGAAAACACCAAAATGGATGTCAGTAGAGACTTTGAACTTTGCCCTTGAACAAAGTCTAACTAAAGAAAATGGAAGAATTGACAGGATAAAAGAGGTGAATAGAAGATCTGAAAGCACAGCTAGACAAGACAAAGTCAATTATTATAACGAAGTGTGCAAAGACCTGGAGTTAGAAAACAAAAAGGGAAGAACATGCTTGGCATCACTCAAGCTGAAAGAACTGAGGAAAAAATTTAAGCCTCAAATTTCAATGCTGAAAGTTTCCATGCAAAGTATGTTGAATGATGCAGAAAGAATCAAAAGAAGATGGAAGGAATACACATAGTCACTATACTAAAAATAATTGGTAGATGATCATCCCTTTCAGGGGGTGGCATATGATCAAGAACAAATGATATTGAAGGAATAAGTTGAAGCTCTACTAAATGAATAGGTGAAGAATAAGGCTCCAGGAGTTGATGGAATACCCATTGAGATGTTTCAACAAACAGATGCTGCTCTGGAAGCACTCACTTGGCTATGCCAAGAGATTTGGAAGACAGTTACCTGGCCAAGTGACTGAAAGAAATCCATATTAGTACCCATTTCAAAGAAAGGTGATGTCACAGAATGTGAAAAAAAAAAAAATATATATATATATCAAATGATACCGATGATATTACCTGCAAGTAAAATCTTACTGGAGATAATTAAAAAATAGTTGCAACAGTATATTGGCAGAGAACTTCTAGAAATGCAAGTTGGATTCAGAAGGGTATGTAGAGTGAGAGATATCATAGCTGATATCAGATGAATCTTGACTCAAAATAAAGAATATCAGAAAAATGTTTACTTGTGTTTTATTGACAATGCAAAGACATTCTATTACATGGATAGTAACAAATTATGAATAACATTGAGAAAAATGGAAATTCCAGAATCTTTAGTTCTACTCATGAGGTACTAGTACAGACCAGGAGGCTTTCATTCAAACAGAACAAGGGGAGACTGCATGGTTTAAAATTAGGAAGGAAATGTGTCACGGTTGTGTGCATCTACCAGACTTATTCAGTCTGTATGCTGAGTAAATAGTCCAAGAACCTGGATTATATGAAGAAGAATGTGGCATCAAGATTGGAGGAAGGCTCACTGTAAATCTGAGATACACAGATGACACAACTTTGCTTGCTGAAAGTGAGGATGACTTGGAGCACTTACTGGTGAAGACTGAAGACTACAGTCTGCAGTATGGATTACACATCAATATAAAGAAAACAAAAATCCTCACAACTGGACCTATAAGAAACATCAGGATAGATGGAGAAAAGATTGAAGTTGTTAAAGACTTCATATTACTTGGTTCTACAATCAACGGCAATGGAAGCAGCAGTCAAGGCATCAGAAGAAATGTTACATTGGGCAAATTTGTTGGAGAAGACCTCTTTCAGATGCTGAAGAGCCAAGATATCTCCTTGAAGACCAAGATGTGCCTAACCCAAGCAATGATATTTTCAATTTTCTCATATGCTTGTGAGACCTGGCAATGAATAAGGAAGACAAAAGAAGAGTTGATACTTTTGAGGTGGGTGTTAGCGAAGAGTGCCAAAAATATTATGGACTTCTAAAAGAACTAACAAATCTGTCCTGGAGGAAGTGCAGCTGAAAAGCTACTTGGAATCAACAATGGACAGACTTCATTTCACCTACTGTAGTCATGTTGTTAGAAGGGACTATTCTCTGGGTAAGGATGTCATGCTTATTAAAGTGGAGGGTCAACAAAAGCAGACGGTCTTCAATAAGATGTATTGATGTGGTGGCAGCAGCAATGGACTCAGGTATATTAGAGATTATGAAGCTGGCACAGGATCAGGCAGTGTTTCATTCTGCTGTACATAAGGTTGCTATGAATCAGAGACCACTTGACCGCACATAACAACAACATCCCTAGAATTGTTTAATCACATTGTAACGGTATATTAAAATCTTTGTGTTAAGTCCAAAATGTTTCCCACAATTTCTGTAGAATTTTATAATCTTATTACCAAAGAATGATGTTACAATACTGCTGCCTCACTAACATCTGCTGTTTGTTGTTTGTTTTGATCATAGACATCTGTCTTAGTGCTACTATAACAGAAGCACCAGAAATGAATGGCTTTAACACAGACGACATTGTTTTACAGTTTAGGAGCGAGAAGTGCAAATTAATAGTCCCAGCTCTAAGAACTGGGTGAAGGCCTGTAGACCTTGAGCTTCAGCTGTGCCTCTTGGCCCAGGCCCAATGGAGCTGTAGGCTCCTTCTAACTCATGCAGCCACTGGCTACTGAGGATGACAAACCCAAATTTGGCAGGTAAAATGTCATAATTACAAGGTAAGGAGGCAACTTGGTGGGCCACTGGTTCAAGTACAGGTATTAGAGATGAAAGTTAAGACAAATGCGGGATCCTAAACTTGCCAAAAATCTTAAGACATTTCCCAAAGCATATATACTGGAAGCAGGGCACCTTCTGAAGGTAATTCCCTTTCAACTACTTAGCTGCTTACATCAGATTCCACCCTAGACATAATTAAAATACCATTGTGGCTAATAATTACATTCAGCAGTCGCATCACTCAAAGTCATGGCCCAAATAAGTTGACACAAACCCTTAACTATCACAGCTTCTCAGTGGGAGGTAAAGTGATAGCTCATTACAGATTTGATTTAAAAATTTACCTGAAGACTAATAACACTGAATATCTTTATATGTGCTTGCTGGCAATTTCTATTTTTCTTTGATGACATGTTATACTAATCCTTACCTCATGTTTTCATTGGGTTGTTTTGTCTTTTCATTGTCAAGTTTGAAGAGTATTTTTATACCTTAGATTTTAAGCCTATATATGGAATATATTTACCCAAAAATATACCAATATGCACACTGTCACCTCATTTCTTAATAAATACTTTGGTACACAAAGGTTTTAATTTTGATGATTTTCCATTGGTTTGTTTTGTTTTGGATTGCTTGTACTCTTGGTGTCACAGCCAAGAATGTTTTTATTTTGTGAGTAATTTTATAGATGAATTTCAGATACGATTATTATTAAAATATATTCAAAAGTCTATTGTGTAATGACATGTAAATAAATGAGCTCAAAGACGGATTTTATTAATTTAAAAAATTAGATATAATAATTAAAAATTGCATAAACAAGTACCAGTTTCAGGAATTTACAAAATTTTGACATTGGATAACTCTAAAAAAATGAGGCTGTGTTTACTGAGGCTTTAAGTTAGCACATTTCCCAAGCCACCTTTTCCAGGCTTCCTTTACCTCATTGTTCCTCAGACTATAGATGAGAGGGTTCAGCACAGGAGTGAAGATTGTGTAGAAAGCTGACACAACCTTATCATGGTTAGCTGATCTGTAGGATTTGGGTGTCATGTAGATAAAAATGGCAGCCCCATAAAAGAGTCCCACCACAGCCAAGTGTGACGAACATGTAGCAAAGGTCTTCTTGTGGGTTTCTGTAGAACGCATGCGGATTACAGCAGCTACAATGAAGCTGTAGGAGGTCAGGATGAGGGAGAAGGGCACCAAGAGCATTAACACACAGCAGATGTACATGGCATTTTCAAAGACAGAAGTGTCAGCACAAGCCAAGCGCACCAGCATGGGGGCTTCACAGAAGAAATGATTGATCTCATGTGTATTGCAGAAAGGAAAGCTCAGGGCAGTAACTGCCTGCAAAAGTCCATCAGCTGCTCCCAAGAACCAAGACCCCATGGTCATTTTCAGGCAAAGTGGCCAGTTCATGAGAATGGGATATCGTAGTGGGTGACACACAGCCACATAGCGGTCATAGGACATGGCTGCCAGAAGGAAACATTCTCCACCACCCAGGGTGAGTAAGAAAAAGATTTGTAAGCCACAGCCTGCAGGGGAGATGGACTTCTTGCCTGTCAGAAAGCCAGATGCCATTTTGGGCACAATGGTGACAACCAGCATCAAGTCCATGAGGGAGAGCTGGCTCAGTAGAATGTACATTGGCGTGTGGAGTCGGTGGTCCCTGTGAATCAGGAGAATCATGAGGATATTGCCCATCAGGGAAGCAATAGCTATGGTCAGTATCACAATGAAGAGAAAGAGATGGGACCTTGTGTGCTTAAAGAGTCCCAGGAGAATAAAATCTGAGGTGTCATTTTTCTTCTCCATGGTTTCTACTGGAATGGCACTGCATAAGGAAAGTTAAATAAGGAAGGTTTTGCACCATTTAAAAATCTCAGTTTGACTGTATAACTTTCTGTACTGTACTATGTATTTGGAATCCAGGTTGCTGATTCAAATCCCAACATTCCCAGTCATAATGGTCCATCTTGGTCTATAATTCCATCTCTAAATACCTCAACATTGTTAATATTTCAATGTAAGCCAATACACCCCTTCAAAAAATCAATTAAATTTAAATCAAATTGATCTAAATTAGATAATAGATGAAAAGAGATAAAATGACACCAGAAAAACATGCGTTCTCAGTTGTTAAGGACTAAGGAGTTACATCTGGTCTTCTCAATTACAATTGTATAACTATTTTTGTACTTTTGTAATGTATACTGAGACCAAAATTAACCAGTTTAGAAAATAAACCACAGAGTCTGTCATTTGCATTTTCTTGTATCACAGATAATTTATATCCAGTTGTTAGAATTCTAAATATATTCACATTTTTTTAATAAGAAAGATTTGATTTATTGTCATAGATTATGGTCAAAGATCATAGACTGGAAGAGATGATTAACCTGTAAACAAAATATGTCATTCATAGAAAAATAATAATCTCTAATATAATGAATTAAATATTGTTTTGTTCCTCTCATTAAATAACACTGCCATTGAGTCAATTTCTACTCATAGCAACTGTGTAAGATTGAGTAGAAATGCTCCATTGGGCTTCATAGGCTGTAAATCTCTAAAGGAGCAACCTATATCATCGACCTCCTGTGAAGCTGTCTTTGGATTTGAACCATTGATCTTTTGGTTGGCAGTCAATTGCTTTAAGCACAGCACCACCAGAACTGCTTTCCTTTCATTAGGTAACTGTTTTTATTCACCTGAGTTTTACAACTTAGATATTTTGATACATGACTCCCTGTTCTGAATTCTGTGCTATTTACTTATCATACTTGTTGGAAAATAAACTTTCTTTCCTTCAATTTCTAGGACTTGTTGCCATGGCCCACACAAAATTTCCAATCACACAATTTACTGCAACGGAGATGGAGAGGGTACAAGCCAAATATAAAAGGCTATCATAACAGGAGTACGATATGAAAAGAAAATCAATAAGAGTAATAAGGAGTTAGGTGGTTAAAAGAACAAGAAAATGATTTTAAAAGGTTTGGTAGCATAGTGCCTAAGGCACTTAACTGCTAACCAGAAGGCTGGTGGTTCAAACCCACCAGCCACTCCTTGGAAGGAAGATGGGGCAATCTACTTCCATAGTGATACTGCCTTTGACACCCTAGGAGGGGTCGCTATGAGTTGGGTCTGACTTGACAGTACATAACAACAAAAAACAACAGCATAATTATCAGTTGCAGGCAAAATATCAAATAGTTTTGGAAAGAAAAACAACTTGGTTAATTTATTTTCTTTTGTATCCAATTTATATTTGTGTACTATATTTCTGGGATTGATTTAAATTTTACTGTGTGTGTGTGTTGAATATGTGTGCATATATATATATGTATATGTAGATATATAAAATAATACATTTTCTTAAGTAGAGACAATTGAAATGACTTAACCTACAGAAATGAGTATAATTCTTTCTGAAGCAGTTGCAGTTGGGAGCTGTTATACACAAAGTATAAGAAGAATTCAGCAGTTTTTCAGTTCTTTAATTCCAAACTAATAACAAAATTTAATAACTCAGAAATAGAAGAACAGAGTAAGTCATTTCTCTCTTTCACCGATAGAGAGTACATGAATTCACAGCCTCTGTGGGATGGACAAAGTGATTTCATCCAAAGCTTTCAAGACATCATAATCTCTGAACTGTAGTCTAGAGTTTGTCTGGTCATAGACGATTGTAGGCACAGAGATGGTGATGACAGTTTTTAATCTGTTAGGGTTTTTTTTTTTTTTTTTTGAAAATAGACTTCTACTATAGTATTTAGGTGGCAAACAGAGGCCTTCTCTTAAAACAGCCATATCACAAGTAGTTGGTCTCTGACATGACATTCAGATTTGAACTGACACAACATATAATAACAAAAACATCCTTGAGATTGTTTATTAAGCACTGAAGATCAGATAAATAAACAATCTTTACTTAATCAAGTTTTTGCCAATCCTTGCTAATTAACTTGACTTTCTATCTAGTATATCCGTATCCTCCTTTTATATACTATTTAAAGTATCTTTTTCCTGTTGTTACCGTAGGCCCCTAATCCCTTGCAGGATTCCTTTGCCTCTATTATGTCTTCAAACAGATTCATCCTAATGATGAGGAGATGTATGGCTAATAGAAAAATAGACTTGGAATAAGAAGTCCTGGAATTAGAGTAATTTCTGTCATTTTCTCACTATAACATGAGAGAGACTATAGGTACCCTTGTTTTTATTTTTGTCTAAAACTGAAACTTATGTTTTATACTACAAAACTACTAAACATCTTGCTCCAATAAAGAAAATATATCTTGTGTATGAAAGAGTTTTGAAATATTTTACATGTCTTTTTTTAATGTTCAAACATTATTTTCATTTTAAATCTTAAAATGACAGCTTAAATCATATGCTGCCATTTTTTTCCACATAGCAAGCAGTTTGGAGAGTTTTAACAAAAAATGTCAATATGATCATTTGAGTTAATGTTGACAACCTGGACATACCAAATTAGCTGAATGCAAAATGTTTTCTCATTTTACAATTTGGACAGGCACAAAATACATAATAATTGAAACTTTTGTGGTAGCTGTTTAAGTACTAAAAAAGGGAAATAAACAGAATCAAGTCTTTGTCAAACTTTTTGAGTTTGCTTGGCTTTCTAACTCAGATGACACTGTTTTTCAAAGTTAACAGAATCTAAGAGATTATTTTTTTGAGAAATAAATATTCTACAGAAATAGATATATACTTGCATGGCAGGGATAAGCATACATCAATATATCTAATAGCAATATAATTAAAATTTTGAACCATGTCTTTTTACTTTAATTTAGTAGTTAATAATATAGATAGGTAGTTGACAGCTAGCTAGCTAGATGATGGATAGATAGAGCTGTATTACCTTTTGCTGCACAAAAAGTATGCTGCTATTACTGTAATAAAAGTGCTTGAAGTGCTGTGTTGTTGTTATGTGCCATCGAGTGGGACCCGACTCATAGAGACCCCTCCTTGGGTTTCTTAGGCAGTATCACTATGGAAATAGATTGCCCCATCTTCCTTCCAAGGAGTGGCTGGTGGGTTTGAACCGCCAGCCTTCTGGTTAGCAGTCAAGTGCCTTAGCCACTATGCTACCAGAGCTCCCTCGAAGTGCTGTAGCAGTCAATAAATTTAGTTCAAACGTTATTTGACCATATTACTTAATTATTTCCTAATGCAGCCTTGGATATTTCAAAGTTTTATTTTTAATGAACTTTTTTTTTTCATTGTGAATATACCGCTACATTTAGTTACTAAGCTAGACAGAGATTGCCCAATCTATCTTCTGAGAGTGGCTGGTAGATTTGAACCACCAGCCTTCTGGTTAGCAGTCAAGTGCCTTAAGCACTAAGGTACCAAAGTTCCCAAAAGCTATACTTAAACATAATAATTAAGAAACTGTGAATAGATGCTTACAAACATTCCTTCTTTATGTGGATTGAATTAATATTAAGCTATTAAATAACTTATGCTACATGCATGTGAAAGGTGGACAACCAATAAGGAAGAGCGAAGAGTTGATGCCTTTGAATTGTGGTGTTGTTGAAGAATACTGAAAATACCATGGACTGCCAGAAGAATGAACGAACCTAGCCTGGATGAAGTACAGCCAGAATGCTTCTGAGAAGTGAGAATAGTCAGACTTTACCTACTTTGGTCATATTGTCAGAAGGGACAAATCCCTGAGAAGGATATCGTGCATGATAAGATAGAGAGGAAGTGAAAAAGAGGAAGTCCCTCAACTAGATGAATTGACACAGTGGCTACAATGATGGGATTGAGCATAGTAAGGATTGTGAGGATCCACAGGATCTGTTAGTGTTTCTTTCTGTTGTACATAGGGTCGCTATGAGGTGGAGTTGAGTCAATGGCACCTAACAACAACACAATAATTAACTAGGATAGCTGTAATTGAGTGCTTTAAATAATCAATTTCATTATTATTATTATTTTTTCAGTAATCAGAGAAATAGGTGATGGATATTTTTCTACTGCACATGCATACATAATTCAGAAAAGGAGGCAATTCCTTTTCATTATCTTTAAAGTAACAGTATAACTTTTCTTATTTTCTTTATTTATTCTAGGCCCTTGTTTGGAACGTATCTATGCAATGTTGTGTCTATTAATTTGTAAACTATGCCCTTTGTGATGACATTGTAAGCTCAAGTAGAGAAACATTCTTCTGGACTATTTGAGTTTCATTCCACACTCTCCTTTTTCCTTCTTTCTGCCATCTGCCCTGCACAAACTTAGTGTGTCCACAGATATTGAAATAACATATTCAATTTTTAGAAATAACCTGTGGTCATTAAAAAAAAAATCTGCTAATAGGAACTCAATCATTTGACTGAATTTGCTGCTTATTTAAGAACAGATTTTGGCTTGCAGATTTCATGCCGACATAGTCCATGTCTCACATTTTCATAATATCATATAGAAAATAAGATTCATGCTATATAATTTGTGGATGACATGTTAAAATGATTACTTTGCAACTCAAAACCAACATGAAAAATACCAAAACCACAACAGCTATCAGTAGTTTGAGAGGAAATCTAAAATAGTGGAAGCCTAACTGAACAAAAGTAGACTCACCTCTGTAGTGCTGAATCATTGTCAAGAAGACATGTATACAGTAACCAATCCTTTGATAAATATATTACAACTGTTTATTTATACCAGTGTTGAAGATATTATTTTGTATTTTTGGACTCATGCCATACTTATTTAAAAGCCCTATTTGACCCTTAAAAAGATTTGGCACTTACACAATCCCTTCCCTCAAG